CCCCCCCCCTGAAAAGTTAATTGATTTTTTTTGCCCCCCTCCCTAGAAAGTTTTCTGCGGGCGCCCATGGACTGGTGCCAGATTTATTAATTAAATTTTCTTTCTATTTAAACATCAATATTCATGCTTTCTGGACCGGTAGCGTAGGGCTTGTGGGAACGATGGTCTAGCGCATGGGGACATCTGTCACTCTCTGTCCCTTCACTACACCACTGTAGTAGAGTTTAATTTCTCCTCATTTTAATCATACTATTTTAAAATGTCCAAGAAAAAAAATTCACATGCGCTGAGATGTCCTATTTTTTTCGCTCCATAAGAAATCTCTATAATGTCAATTTTTTGGGCATCCAAAAGGGACTTAAGGGCCATAATTAGCTCAAATTTTTAAGGACGGTTGGCAATCCTGGGTCTAGTAAATATCTCTGTGCGGCCAAACATTAATTAAGGCCATAGGCCAATAATCAATTTTATATTAGGCCAACGCTATGCCCATATCATATATAATACATGAAGTGGGCCGAAAGACAGGCTTATCAATGGTCCAGGGGTATAGAGTTATGGAGCATGGAGTCGAAGATGCGAATAGCTTAGGAACAAGAACTAGTCTAGCACTGTCGTGTGACTTTAGGAGGCCCACTGCCATTTTTCGGTTTTGTACCCCCAGCATTCAAAATTGATATTTTTTTTCTTCCTACCACACAACTCTCCGAGGCCTTGCAGTGGTGTAGCTAGGGTTAGTGCCGACCCCGGGGGGGGGGGATGGGGGAGGAAGATTTTTCCGAACAAACTATTTAGTTGGCCGAAAATGTCGCCTCTCCATACCCCATTCATACGCCCCTGGCCATGACCCACTAGAATAGGCCCTACTGGTAGGTCGTGAACTGACTCCCTGCAACCATCATGACAGCAAGACGCACATGACAGCCGTGATTAGTGTTGGACTCCCGAGGGATTCTGATTTGGAGGTGACGATTATTCACAGTGCAAAGGGCAACACGTCCAGTTTCCTCATGCTTAGCAGATATGATATGTTATTGGTCTACTTTCCACATGTCATGTGTGAATAGCAGACGTACTTTAACTGAAGACTTGGAAATATTGTATGCGTGAAACGCAGTAGTTACACCGGGGGTGGGGGCTGCGGGATTGAGTAACGCACCGGGCGACACACCCTCTAAAGGGAGTTAAACTACAATATAGTCAACGTAAAATACAAGAATACAGGATGCCACCAGAGCAGGTATCCACAAGGGTGCAAACCCAGCAATGTGTCTTCTGATTACGCAAACTCGGAAGACGTGCACTGAGAAATCTGATGTATGGGATGACACCATGAATTTACAGCACTGGGGGAACTAAACCTACACGTTAGGCGGATTCGGTTAAAAAAAAAAAAGTGAACTTGCAACAAGGATATAACTAAATAAACTTGATGTTCTCATATTTGTTGTGTCTGTATCTGACCACTCTCGGGGTCAAATCGAATAGGGGCTCAATGGTGGACCAAAAAGACATCAAAAAGCGTACGCAATTTTTTAACAAAATATTTCAAAAGCTACCTTTTGTTCCAGCCTTCCATCCAAAATGTTCAATCAAAAGCCACATTTTGTTCCAGCCCTCTGTTTAAAATGTATTTCCAATGTCTGTGTATTATTTTAAACTATTTTTTTGGTCAAATTTCTTCATATTTTGTTCTATTCATTCAGCAATAGAACAAGTAAATGAATTCTTTTCCATTCAACTACATATTGGATAACATCTATAATAATAATTCCAGAGTGAATCTTGTCCACCCCATTATTGCGCACTGGGATGCACTCTCATTCGCTGCTCCCCCCCCCCCCCCCCGTTGGGCTTGATCACATACACAGTAAATGCTCACTAAAGAACACATTTTACAACTAGCATGGCGATAGAACACATAAGCACCATTATAAAAAATAACACCACTAAGACATAAAAACAGTATCAGTACCAGCCACTAACCCCTCATTATATAGATTTATAACAACTAAGCAATGGTGGATGTATGGGGTGCCCTCTGGAATTATTATTATAGATCATGCACCTATTCCTGTATTTTACACGTCCAACGTGGTTGTGTTGCCCCAACTAGTAAATTATATATTCAACAAAAGAAATTAAAAGCAAAAGGACCACCCAAAGTAATCACAATTACACAGACTGATGGGTCATCAACTAACGAATTAAATTAATTATCAAACAAAGTTGTTACAACTGTTACAAGTATATTTGTTATATTTTTAAACAGCCACAAAAAAAAAGATAATAAAAGCACACAACAATCGCACTTGGCAAAAGTTTTTTAACTTATTTTTTATTATATAGCTTTTTGTTGAAAAAATGTTAACATTTTCAGAGATGCAGAATGAAAGCATTAGAAATGCTATATTAAAAGTTGGCTATTTAACAGGTAGTGGTACATTTACAAGTACAGTCTTCACTGGGCATTCACACTAGTTCATCGCCCTCTTGATACATGTTATACAGTTGGAGGATCATGTTAACAGATGCACTGAAACACAGTTTGAGGATCCGAATAAGTTAAATAGGAAATGTTTCATTGTAAGCATCCAAACAGATAGGCCAACATGTACAGATTCTGAGCTTAATTAGGTACAGTTATATTTTATATCCTAATGACAGGATAAATTTTGATGAAAGGGAAGCTACTACGAAATTCTATGTCTACACACAGAAGGGAGATCAGTCATATAAGTTTATGTAAAATAATAGCATCTGATAAATTGTATAGAGTAAACACAGCCTCAAGAAATTATCAAGCAAAATATGTGTCATATGATGATTTTGAATTGGTAAATAACAGGCTTATATAATCCTTGAAGGGTCATTTATAACAGAGCTATTTGAAGACTGAATGGCTAGCTCCATTAACAGTACAGAAGAAGTGGGAAAAATAAAAAAGTTCTTAAAACACTGAAATAGATTTTGTTTCCTGAATGTGACAGTACAAGCTCAGATAAAACAAAAAAATAACATGTAACCCATGGTTCAAAGTTGAGGTGACACCAGCCCCCAAAAAAGTAACTGCAATTTTATTTATTTAAAACAGTCAACATCAGCTGATTTTTAAATGATTAAGTGTCCTTCCAGCATCTCCATCTTTCGTTCGGTGAAGTTCAAATATGAAAATAAAGACTATTATCATCTATGCCATAATTCCAAATACAGGATTGTGGCGGCATATGCTGGGGCCGTGTTCATCATAATCAGCCTTCGTGTGGCACACTTGGTAGAACTCGGGCTGGAGATAAAAGTCAAATAGGTAGGATTATTATTTACAGTAATTTAAGGCTGAATCAAATCAATACAAAAAAATTTTTTTTTAAAATTCTTTGAGTTTACAGACAAGTTCATATCTGGTGCCAAAAATTTAATTCAGAAACTTAATGTTTGCAGGCTAAATTGTGAAAATCATCAAGTTGCCATGTCAAATTCTACAGTTCGATTTCCATTTATCAGTTCAGATATTGATGTGAACTGATTCCTTTAAACTTTAAAAAAAATGTCCAAACATAATATTAACTTGTCAAATATAATGCCTTTATTTTATAAAAAGAAAGTTTGACAAGTAGAGTTTGCAATAAAAATTATAGAGAGGTAATTTTATTGTGACCTCTAATAATTTGATGCAGAAGAGCATTAATTAATAAATAACAAAAGGTTAATGGATCTTACTGTGGATGCAAGCATGGAGCCACCAAACCACACAGCATAGCGTTGCATGTGATGAGTGATTACATTCACATCAATTGGCTTGGGCTAAAATAAAAAGAAATATTTATAAAGCAAATATTGGAAGTCACTTTAACAAGTCGTGATGGTGAGAAATGAAATTTGATTCTCATAATATTTTTTTCATTTGCTCAGTGTCTATCAAGCTCTTCAAGATTCACATCATTAATCTAATCTAAATAACAACAGAAATAAGATTCTAATTTTTAGATATATTTTTAATTTAAATCTATAATGATGTCAGTCTTAGCTTGGCTAACCAAAGAAAATTCATGAACATAAAAATTAAAATATCATCTAAAAGATTAGTAGGAAACTAGGTTCTATCAAACAAGTCAATTGATATTTTATTTTTATTAACTGTTCTCAAATTTTATTTAAATTTTTGTAATGGATAAGAAAAAGTTTCACCTTGATCCGTCCAGCACTGAGGTCCTCGCTGACTTTAAGACGTGCATCCACAATGCGTTTAACATCACGCTGGATCTTTCGCCCGAAATCCCTGAACATGGTTGAACCTCCAGACAGGACAATGTTCTGATAATTCAATGACAATTACATAATTATCTCTTGCTCACAAGTAAAACAAGAAAACATTCATCAAAATCAAAATCAAAGACATGCTGTATATATTTAGGCAAAAATAAAAAATTGGTATGTCTGTCTCATAACCATTTTTTTCTGAGGTTGTTCTTGCCGTTGGGCTGTTAAGAAAGTTTAATAAACTCATGAGCCAAGTAAGAAATCTGAGCTGTTCTTGAAGAGTAATAATCCAGTATTTTCACCACCAGCCATATACTTTTTAATGACCTTGATATGAGACATAAAACCTAATGGTTGCATATAAATTGAAATAGACGACTTCCGCATGCGACAAAAAATGAATTAAGTGGTTTTTTTTTTATTACTGCAGCACTACAAAATCATCCACCCCTCCTTTTTCCCCCCAGAGTATTTAATCGTTGTGCTATTTAACTATTACCAAACAGAAAAAACAACAAAGCAAAAACTGCAAGTGGAAGTTACTTTATAAAGTCCTCTCCTGACATCAATGGGACAATTCTGGACAACATCATCAACAACCTCTGATATGGGGAGCTCAAAATCAGGATTGCAAAACTGAAAAATAAATTTAAAAAAAATTTAACTCCATTGAATTAGTTCGTAAACGAAGATAATAAATACTGAGTACAAAATGTATTCCACATCATCAATCCCCCAAAACAAGGCCACAATTTTTTAACAATGTAAATACAAAATATAAAGATGAATCAATGATAAGCAAACAGAGACAGTTAAGTAAATGAACAGAGAGACATCAACACTTAATATCAATATGGAAGAAATTTCCTTTGATGTAATTTTTTTATACAACCAAACACAACAAACTGATTACTAAACTAAAAATATTTATAACAAGACGAATTAATTAAATTACTGTCATCTTACTTTTAAAAACTATTATTTACAAGGATTTTTATAACTGTTTTTTTTTTTTTAATTTTTTGACACACTTATGAATGTTCATGACACACCAGTTGAAAACAATTGCCTTTTTGCAAAAAAAAAAAAAAAAACAAATGCCTTTTTGAAAAAAAAAAAAAAAAGAAGGGAGATATCTATTCAAATTAGGAAATGACACATTCTTTGAATAAAGAAATTTGTTAACTATGTTGGACATTTTTATTTAAAATTAAAGAGCTAGATGATGCTCTGTTTTTATCTACAATATATGGAAAATGCTTAAGATATTACTACTGAATGCATTCCTCACCTCAGGGTGGAAGAAAATCTCTGGACCCAAAAATCTCTCGTATCCTACATCAACAGTGAAAGGGTTTTTGGAGACAGCGTTGATACCTTCAAATTTCTTGACCCACTTTGCTGGGTCAGCATCATACTTGGCGAATTCTTTAGCAATGTCAGGGCATACATAACTAAAGCGCTCCTGTGGATATTTATTAAAAGTCAATCATAATTGAAGTATAATCTGAATTAAATGAAAAATGTTTGCAGCAAAATTATTTAGATATAAATATTAACTATGTCAAATGAGAGTATAAAATGGATTGTTGTGTATATGTTGCTTCTTTACTTTAACTTGATAGCTTTGTTGTCTGATTACCTTGATAGATTTGTTATTTCATTACCTTGATGGCTTTGTTATCTCCTTACCTTGATGGCTTTTTTATCTCATTACCTTGATAGCTTTGTTGTCTACTTACCTTGATAGCCTTCGCAGTTTCCAGTGACTGCTCTGGGGGAATGCCAACTTCCCTCTCTCTCAGCAGCTGTTGAATGAAATATGTGATGTCTCGCCCAGCGATGGGGATGTGCTTGATACAGCTGCCAATAACATAGCCTTCAGCCTAAGATAAAAAAAAATCAAAAGTTCAGGACATGATGATGGTTTCAATTAAATTTTCTTGAAAGAACAAGACAATTAGACAGTAACATTACAGATTCACATTATACTGAAACATTGCATCAGTGCACTTACAACTCTGTGCACAGTTTGATCATGGTTGATATGTGTTCATGTAGATTTCCACTGTAAACCTCTAATATTGCAAAGGAAATGAAAGCACACAAAAAGTACAGCTATGACTCCCACTTAAACGGAGGAATAGCAAGACATGAAAAAACAAACATGAAAATGTTCTGTTTGTTATCTGTTAATTTACATTAAAAAAATCAAAGCTGCTCGCTCATAATCAACTTTCACATTTTTTAAGATTTTGTAATAGGGTTTGAGGTCGCAAATTATCATAGCACCCTGAGTAAACCTTCCACAATATTATACTAATTTGGGGTTCTTATACAGTGCTTCTCAAAGTGGTGGTCCACAAGCCTTTTATCCCTAGTCTGCAACTGATAAAAACAATAAGCCAGATTGAAAAAAGAAAACTAAACCCTGGTTATCAAATTTTACATTGGTCACCAGTGCGATTACTGACTGTCCATCACCCTCACCACTCTGGACCAAAAAAGCACCAATTAAAAAGATTTATACAGTGTGGTAGTATAGGAAGCTGTTTCTGTCCAGAACAACCAGAATAAAGAGAAGGAGTAAACTTACTACAGGTATGACGTGAGTAACTCCGTCACCAGAGTCAATTACTGTCCCTGTCAGAGTTCTGTCCCCTACTTGGCGTGATGTCCATGATGCTGCTAGTGCTAGAACTGCCTAAAAAAATTATATATATATTGTATCAAGACCATGATAAAATGAGGAATACACATTTAAAGTAAAGGGTATTTATAGATTTATCGCTCAAATGTCTCAATACACTACTTATAGATTCCTACCATTACAGCAGTGGCTTTAAATTTTACAGTTTTAAAAGCGGGAGTGCTGCATTACAAAGTATTCAATTCCATGAGACATTAAATAGTAAAATAAATATGATTGACACTAAAAAAATATATTGCAGTACACCGCCAGAATAAAATTTGGTGGCACATTTGAAGATTCATAATAAAAGTACATTTAATTTACCTACCTGTACAGCGATGTAGAGGCCTGGAATGTTGAAAGACTCAAACATGATTTCAGCAGTGTATTCTCTGTTTTCTGGGGTGTTCAGAGGTGGCTCTGTCTGAAAAGAGGAATGCACCAAAAAGAATAAATCACCAGTTTTCAAAAAAAAAAGGAAACCTTAGGAATTGTTTTATTAACCAAATTAAACCAGCTGCCCAGAATTATTTACTCAGTAAATGTCACATTAAAAGGAAATAACCAAGTGTTTATTATTGTTTGGTTCAGAAAAAATAAAAGCATAAAAATCCATATTGTGACATGTCTTAATGGAAAAGGGTTAATCCATCCTTTATGGTGGCTTCATGCTGGTCAAATCATTTTTGCCCCACCGATTCTTTGGTTGGGTAATTTCTTGAATGTCAAACTCTAAACTGTACAAAATTAGCCAGTCAAAATATTTTACAAAAAGATCCACTAGCCTCGATACCGGTACTCATGACTTTCTGGTTTTGAATAGTGTCAGCATAGGAGGCAACTGGATTAGGCTGATTTGTGTTAAAAGTGTAGAGCATTTTTCTGACAAAATGTTATGTGAAAAAAATGAATCTTCAGCATAAATGAAATTACTGAGATGTGTGTCGATAAAAAAAAGTATACAGCCAAATCAGTTGGTATTACGTATAATTAGAAACATATTTACCAACAAAAAGTAATGGTCTTCTGGCTCTGCCCTGAGGTATTTGAATATTGCCTGTTCGTAAAATCTCTCCATCAAGTCCCAATCTTCAATGATGCCATGTCGAATTGGCCACTGAGGAATAAAAGGGTTGTTTTTTTTCGGAATACTAAGTCAAATGACCGCACCCTCCTTAATGACCATATGCACATAAATATGACAGGTGGTGGTATGTCGTGTCATTTGAAATACATGATGCCCTCTTAAAACCCTTGGCAGCTAAACTACCATACACTCGTCTGGAAAGGTTTAAACACAGGTAGCAATGCATTTTTTACATTTCCTTTATTTATTTTTAAATTAAGATGTAGATTTGAAACGGAATTGTGTCCTTTTAACTAGGTAGTTAAGCTCACTTTAAGCAAACATAGGTTTGTGCTGGGTTTAAAAAAAAATTAATAGTCACTCGAGGGAGTCCTAGAATTATTGTTCTGAAAATATCCATAACAATCATTTATGCTGAAACTGCATACTTCTATCATGAACCAAACATAAAATATTCTAACTACCTTTGTAGCATATGAAGGCTGATTTATGGCTTCATCTCCAATGTAAAAGTCTAGATCTTCAACTCCTTTTCCAAGCCTTTTCTGAGACTGATCTCCCACACTGGCCGACTCTTTGATAGCAATTGCTGATGGAATGATAAACTGTGGCTCTGTGTTACCAGCAAAACCCATCTTTGTGTATCTAAATTTGGAAGGGATCAAATAAAGATGAATGATATTTGATAATTTTCAATAATTTAATTTCATAATTCAAAGGTACTGTACCATAGGTGAAGACTTGAAATGATAAGGGAAAATGCTGGAATGAAATTTTTCATGTCAAATTAATTTAAGATAAAATAAAAATAACATAGTAAATATAAGGAATGCGGCTATCTGTATGAAGGTCTTTTTTTTTTTGGTTACTTTCAATCTGGGAGAGAGCAAATTCATTTTGTTTTTGGCTATTTTTAGTTTTGTAAAAGGGTCCCCATTGCTGGCTAAGCTACAAAAAGAGAAATTTAAATTTTTCATGTCAAATTAATTTAAGATAAAATAAAAATAAAATAGTAAATATAAGGAATGCGGCTATCTGTATGAAGGTCTTTTTTTTTTTTTGGTTACTTTCAATCTGGGAGAGAGCAAATTCATTTTGTTTATGGCTATTTTTAGTTTTGTAAAAGGGTCCCCATTGCTGGCTAAGCTACAAAAAGAGAAATTTCAATTTCAAGAGAAATTTCAATTTCAAGAGAAATTTCATTTAGAGCTATGCAGACAGCCTAGACATATTTTACAGTTTATTTCTAAGCTATAGTAGAAATTTGGACATCAGTCCATTACAGCAGTAATGTGGGTCGCGACCACTTTGGGGGGAGTCGAAAGACCCTTTCCCAGGAGTTGCCTAAGACCATCGGAAAACACATATACTCTACAGTTATGAAGAGCAAATGAAAATAATTTTGTGTTTGGGGTTGCCACAACATGAGGAACTGTATTAAAGGGTTGCAACATTTGGAAGGTTGAGAACCACTGGTCTATTATCACATGTTGAATTATCAATTATTCAATATGGTTCACAAGAAACTAATCTAATGTAGAATGTATGTTCTCTTCTAGGACTGTTGGCCTGAAAGATGTGATTTACTAATTCATAAATCAAAATATGTTGTATTTGCTATTATTTGTAGAAGCGTAGAAAGGATATTGTGCATAACCCTACCCTTCCCTTTGAACCCCGATGTAAGAGTAATAAACTACTTTTAAATCAGGGATAAAAAACAGTGGTTTGTGCCCCCAGGTTTAAAAAATTAAATCCTAGATTTTGATAAGTAAATAATTCTCTCATTTCCATCTAGTTCCAGACAAAAAGACCCTGACCTGCAAATTTATGTCAAAATGACATTAAAATGCAAAGTTACACTTTAGCGTATAACTAACAGAGCAGGTTTCCCCACCTCTGAGTTAGGTTGTTACTCAGTGTTAGTTATTATTAAATTATTATTAATATTATTATTAGGTCTGATTAGGCTCAGGCCTAATTTGATCATGCATAATCTCTAATATATATATGGCTTCTGGTGTGACTCGTGGACTGCTTCCATTTCTGGCTGCTTCCTATTTAGCGTATTTGGTATTGAGAGTATATTACAAATAATTTTATATGTTTGAAAGAATGTATGGTCCAATGATGAGTTCCATAGCGCGCAAAATATAATTCCCGATAATTACGCTAAATGATACACATTTTTTTAATAACGCAACTGCGCTTGGTAGTTAATGTTTTCTTTTCAGAAAATTATATCGTCTCAGTTTAAGTATGGTGTAAAAATATGCGGTTTAAAAGTGGCTGGGACATAGAATATTTAACATAGTTCATGAGTTCATGGGCGTGAAAAAAACAGTGTGCAGTGACGTGTCATGGAGGGAAAGTGTATAATAAAAATTGGGATTCTTAAATGTGCGTTACTTGAGTTCATGTTTTGTCAAGTAACTTTAGTAGATGGAAAGTTCATGCATTGCTGTTGCCAATATTTGGTGGGCTATATGGCTATATCTAGTGATGTATTATTAATTAGTCTACCCTTAATCAGTATCAGTTGTGTGCCGACCGGCAACGGTTTTCGAGCCTTACGATGCCGATCCGCAGAGAATGAATATTTGTGGTGAAATAAAAAGAAGATGCAATTAATAAATATGGCACTGGTTCCTTGTGCCTGCAAAAAAACTATCCACAATTCACAATTGACAGTGACCACAGTCACAGAGTCGGCTAACCTCTACTAAAATTTCTAAGTTTGGGAAACACTGGTCTACTAAATGACTAAAATTAGGAATACACAGAATACTGCTAAATTAATGATTTAATAACTATAGTAAATGTTTAAATTAATTTTAGAGTATGTCACAGTGACGGTAGAGAGTGGTGTAGTTACGCCCCTCCGACTCCGTCGCCGGTCTGAGGATTATTTAGTGTTTACAAAGACTAAACATAAATAAATTATAAATATGTAATTGAAATAATTAAAATTAACAATATCAATACTTACCCTGTGCCATTGTCGATGACAACGGGCGGCAATCTATTTGCCATATCACTTTAAATTGTCAGGAAGACTAAATCCTTCGTACGGTTAATAATCAGGAAGTAGAAAATCTTATTTTGCAGTCGATGACTCGTTTCTACCAAAGCGGAAGTTGAACTTTACCTTAGTCTGACAAGTACGGCAAAACAATAAAATAGAGATTATAATCTACTTTTTAAAAAAATGTATTTATTTATAACACATTTATTGTTACAAGCAACAATTTAAAGCATAGCATCTAAACGTTTTGTTAATGGCAATTATAATATAACTGAAATTGGCTTAAAGGCGTACAATCCGTACATTGAAGTAAATAAGAATCTTTTTTTTTTTTTTTTTTTTTTTTAAAAAATACAAGTTTTTTGTTTTTTTAATTTTAAGTGAAAGCCTGACATTTAACGTGAAAGCCTGACATTTAACGTGACAGCCTGACATTTAACGTGATTTGGTGGCAGTGGAATAGTTTATATTGGAATAAAACAAGTCAAGAGTTCGACAAAATGCAGCACTCTTGGATGTAATCATTAACAATGTATGCAGAACTAACAATTTATCTTTAAAATCTGCAACTAACACTAGCATTTTAATGTTTTTTTTTCCCTCTATAAAAATATATTTTTCTGCCTTCGTTTAAAAAAAAAAAATTCTCAAATTTAAAAAAATTCAAGATACAAAGTCTTTATGTTATGTAAAAGTTTTGTTGTTCATTGTGTTATACATGGCATTGAGAATTTTCCCTAAAAATGTGGTAGCATTATCTTTTACATTTAAAAAGTTGTGGAGCAAAAAAGCAGAAATTTGGAAAGTCAGTCACAAATTTTCACAGTTAAATACAAAGATAAATAAGGGGTATACAAATTTCCCCCCAAAAACATAAATTCGTTTCTAGAAAATCTAGAAAGATAAAAATGGTGTTTTTGCTCAAACAACAGTTGAAACAATAAAAAATAAAAATAAACACTTAGCTGCATTGTAGCATTCGAGAGGATAACAAGAGAAATGTAGATAGAATAAAGGCTAAGGGAAAAAACCGCCGGAACACTGTTGCTTTTAGAGGATTACGCAGTTTGGCCCCCTTAAACACAGTTGACGATCTTTGCAGGACATAATTAATTTGTAGTTTAATGCATGCATAAAACAATTGAGGTACTCACAAGACACTTGAAAGGATGTATAGTATATTGTATGAGTGGGAATTCACGGGAATCGACGTTGCATTTTTCACCAATTCAAAGTCTTCTCTAGAAACTAGATCTATACAAAAGGGCGCAAGAGATTAAGAGATGCACTCACTTGGATGACGCAATTTTATATAACGCGGTCAACATCGAAAGGAATAGAGGAAAACTTCCAATGCAGTATTTTTTAAGTAATGTGGACGTGCTGCCAAGCCCCAACCAATAAAACCAGTCAACTTTCTCAGTATCAATACCTTTAAGGCGGACCTGCAAGATCGAACCGTGTGTGTTGGGGGGGGGAGGGGGGTGTGCAAAGCCAGCATCAGGGCTTGGTAACTCAGATACGGTGGTATCACTGTCTTATTTAGTCCAAATTTAAACACGCTGGATCATAACTGTAATGTGGACGTGCTGCCAAGCCCCAACCAATAAAACCAGTCAACTTTCTCAGTATCAATACCTTTAAGGCGGACCTGCAAGATCGAACCGTGTGTGTTGGGGGGGGGAAGGGGGTGTGCAAAGCCAGCATCAGGGCTTGGTAACTCAGATACGGTGGTATCACTGTCTTATTTAGTCCAAATTTAAACACGCTGGATCATAACAGGGATCCGAACTGCCGGCACTGCACACCGGCCCCAAGAAACGGTGGAAGACCTGTTGACTTGTGCCCCAAACTTGAACTTGGGGAGGCCAGGATGGTGGGCGAGTCCTGCAGAGGGAGCTTCTTACAAGTGTGTTAGCCGTGGCTAAAGAGAGCGAGCGCTCAGCCATGACCCACTAGAATAGTTCCAGTAGATCGTGGCACAGCCCCCATCAGAATATTAGTACATGGTAAAAATGTAAACGGCTTGAAAAATGAATAAAAGTGACGAAAATCAAGTAACAGTTTCTGTAAATCGTCAAAGCATGCTCATGAATATTAAGAGGTAAAAGAGGCCGAGAATATTAAAAAACAGACCAACATTTTAACTAAATATCAATATTTTACGTTAATAGTGCAACTGTTGATGCATGATTAGGAAGTCCCCTTATTCTACTAAGCGGGGGCGGGTTCGAATCTTTCAACGGAATCAAGCATCCAAAAGATTATTCGTTAAAATAAAAATAAAAGGATTTCTTTAAATTATGCATTAATTTTTTTTAAAAATCCGAATGTCTAAAATTACGGTTAAATGGGAGTGTTAGAAATAAGGAAACATTTGTGCATTGTTTTCAATGGGTGTATAACACTGCACCTTTTAATTAATTATTTTTTTTAAACACATTCACTAAATTGATTTAAAAAAAAAAAAAACCTTTAATTTAAATTAAATTGTGCTTTGTAGCCACTTAATGTACCCATGCATTGTAAATCTCGACTCATTGGTTAAAATTTGTGTCATTAATTAATGAAGAGGCCCGTCAATTTTCTTAGGGTGATAAGATAAAATTTCTTGGCCCGAAGAGATAAGGTGAAATCTAATTGATGAAAAACGTTGTTAATTTTTTTTTACGGGCAATACAGTATAGGCCAAAAGTAACAATACTGAGAATAACATACTTTAAACCCTACGTGCGTATGTGTTGGTGCATAGCATTAGCCGCCACGTGTTCTCGGCCGTGAAAGGGCTTGGCAGTTGTTGGAGATGGGTGTCTCGACGTATGAAAACAGTGCGAACATTATTTTTGCTCGTACGTAATTGATTAAGTAATTTTTTATATTTTTTTGGGGGGGTGGGGGGGAGGTGGGGTTGAATGTTTAAATTAAAAACGTGGCAGAATAATTCTAAGAGAGATTTAAAAAGACGGCGATAATGGACACAGTTATGCTGTCTGATTAAGACACTGTTACGAAATTTCGCCGCTATGGAAGTGCGTTGTGTCAATGGAAGAGGAAGTCTCGACAACGAGAGTCACACCTACGCTCGCCAGAAGGTGCCGCATTCGTCTCTGCGAAGTGTGCGAGGAACATCTTTCAAATTGAGCATCGGCAATACGTCTGTTCCCCGTTTGTTAAAAAAGACATGGGTGCATTTTCTTACCGGATACAGGCTGGTTCAACGGTTGGCAGTGCCAGACCTGTGAGCCAGGATGATGCATTGTCGATATTTTAGGCTATGGTGTAAGAAGATCAAGAATTTTATCGGAACGAGGGGGTTCTCCGACGAAAGTCACATTCACGGAAACGTCGATCAGACCTACCCTTCCGTTGAGAGTTATCGTTCCAGCCCCGTGTTATTTGGTCACATTTTATTTCCCTTCTCTAACGTTTTCTCAAAAACGGTCTCTTACGTATGAGAGGAAATATTGCTTAACTATGAAGACTGTATTTTTCCTCCATCCAGAGACCCATTTTCAATTGCTTCACCGGTGGCGTAGGAAAGGGGGGGGGGTTGTGATCCGCCCAGGGCGACACTATATTCTTTATGGGGAGGGGCAGCATCTTCGGCCAACTGCACAGCTTTTTTTCGTGGATGGGGTGGTAAAATATTGGCCCCTCGACCCCCCCAGCAGGTGTCCAACATAACAAAATCCTTTTCACATCTATGGACACGGGGAGCTGGCACTCTATACCCGCTGACAAACTCAGGTACGCGTTCAAGATGAGGGAGTTCATTACTGCTAGTTCTGTCGGATACTGCATATCTAACAATCTGATAATTCCCTTAGTACACATGACAGGAATGATACAAATGTAAAGGAGTTAGTAACTTCAAGGGAATGATTCAAATGGATTTTGTTGAAATAAATGTATTCCTTTAATTACCACTTTTTTTTATAATGTGCACTATATTTTTTTATTTTTCTCCCCCATTTTTAGGCTGGCTATTTGATAGTTTGTCTAAAAATTATCAATAATTAATCGCAGTCAATGAAGATAATAAGTTTATTTTCTATTTAATTTTTTATTATGGACAATACAAGTAAATGGACTGTTGTGTGAAGTTACAAGAATGAATGTTGATTATGTCAATCTGCATTTTCATCCAAGAAGCAGCATTATTTAATAAATAAAATAAAAAAAAAACAAACAAAAAAACCCCATGGAGATGGCAGTTACACCCCAAAAATAATGACTTTAATTGCCTTAAAAATCAAACAAGATTGAAATTTACCATTTACATAGAACATTATTTGCAAACTAACTTTTTAGTATTTATAACAACATGACATTTCATTTCAAAGAATATCAGATAGATTTAAAACATAAATGACTGAATGTTTAAAAAAAAAATAAAAAAATAAGCATGCATATGTAAGTAATGGCTTCAACCTAAGAAAAAAATTAAACAACCCGTAAAAAACAAAGTTTTTCGTATAAATTCTTTATACGCATTTTAAAAATTATTTTATAATAATATTCTAATGACCCACCTGCTTTTACAACCGCAGAATTATTTCACAAACTATTTCAGAAAAACAAAGGAAAATATTACGCACCAAACGCACTTTTGATATTTAAAAAAAAAGAATCTCATTTATCCCAGTTGTCTGAAATTTTATATCCTGAAATCAGCAGAATCATATCTACTTCATCTTCCCCCCTTGAAAAACAGGAAAAACTGAATTTTGATGGGAAGCGGATCAATGAGCTGTCAGAAGATTTTTGCCACACACCCAGCCAGAATGAAACACATGAACAAAAGCAAAGTTAAAAGATTTAAAAAAAAAAAAAAGTCTACATTGTCATGGAGTTTTGGAAACAGCTAAGGATAAAACAAGTATTTCAAACCCAACAAGCCAATGTTGCATACACGGTCAAATATGTCAGCAATGATTTGAAATGGCCCAGACAAGCGGGGGTGGGTCTATGCTACAAGCCGGCACAAGTTTCATGGCAACTGAAATTGAATCACCCAAGCGTTACAAAGACAATCTGTGGAATCGCCCAAGAATAAACAAAAATAAAATAGTAATATAATCTAGGCCGTACAAAACTCCACACATAGCAGGAGCACCACCTAAATCACGTACTCCTCTTTAACTTTGTAAATAACGTGTGGCCGACAAGTAGTACGAAGCTCTCCTGACAGGTAGTACGAAGATCTCCTTTTGGTAAAACAACCTGACTGACACTGCTTGTTCTTGTTTTCTGTGCTCTGGAAAAACTCTGCTCTTAACTGATATATTCTATAGAGATCCTTGCAACGCTGTGTGTTACAGTGGAATATGGAACTGTGCCAGCTATGCATCTTTTGGCAGTACATCAGTCACATATTTAATGTAGATCTTTACCTGGTGTAATAATTGAGCTTTAAAAATGTTTCATTGATGAACTGCTAATCTATATCATTTAATTCAGGCACTAACAAAATTTTAAAGTGAAAATTTGGAAAAAAAATTTTTTTTTAAATTGCAGGAAAGAAAAAATATTACATTACCAAGCAATAAATTAAAAAATTTGTAAAAATATTTTACCAACCATTTTGGCAACAGACATAACTGGAAAAATTTCAAACATACATCTAGATAACCAATATTGTTAATCATACAATTTAGTATTATAAAAATCTGTGGCAAAGTTTAACTAGAGTTTCATCACATTATTTTATTATAGTATAATTTAATATTGAGAAGAAGGAATGTGTTGAATAAATGGGGCCATTATGGCCTGACAGGCTGAGTTGGTTAATAAGCCTCTGTTATCACAGTTAAATTTCTATTCGCTGGGGTCAGCGCATTGAGTTTTAAATGTGTTCTTTTCCTAAACGAATGGTGGACGAATGATGTGACTAGATCAAGTATACTGGACACAGATTTAAGTTAAAAAGAAATATTTAGAATCTTTATAATGCCATTTGCCTTAAGAAGTAACAATACTTGATAAACATAATTAATTAATACAGAATCTACTTTCGTTATGTTAGGACAAAACCACTTTTTGTCAAGGTCACGCAATAAAAAAAAAATGAAGATTATGGACTAAAAGCATTTTAAAGAAAGCTGATAGTTAAGATTTTTTAGCAGTTATTTATTTTTATTCCTCAATTCTTTGCTGATTTATCAACAATAGAGCTAACAATTTTATTGGGCCTTCAAAAGATAAAGAGATAAGACTAAAAATGTTTAGCAGTAAACTGAAAACAAAATAATAAAACCTTAATTTTAATGAATCAATATTTGGTTTGAAAAAGAACAGATTCTTAAACTGTTATGATAGGCAGTCTCACACTCTAAGTGGGAGAAAACTATAAAAACACAAAAGAATAATTTAAAAAATTAATGGACAAATATAGGAGCACACAGGAATAAAATGTATTCCCAAAATGAAATTAATAAATGCACAACCAGGCACAGTGAAATTATTTTGGTAGCTTTGTAAAATTATCTTGGAATGAGATTTAACAAATTCGATCCCATCTATTATGCCAGTGATTACTGATATATCACAAACCACTGTTCAGAGCTTCTTGCTCTACATTGCTCTACAAAACTCAAAGCTTTAGGAATTATACTTTATAGCTGCTTTTGCTGTTGTTATTTTTTTGAAGAACCATCAGAACTTTCGGTGAAAGTTTGAAACAAGTGTGCTATTTCAACTGGAGTTATTGTTATTGCTAAGACTAATTATTATCTTATTCTTGACTGAAAATTGTTGGTCTAATAATTCAAAACCTAAAAACCACCGACCTGAGCTAGACCTCAGAACCATTGAAACAAAAAAAATCCCTTCAGTGATTTATCTGTTTATATATCGGGATTAGTTACTGTTTATAAAAAACCATAGTAGTCCAGATATGGAAATTTAAAAAAAAAACATAGATATTATATTACTAATAAGGAGATTTTTGTTGCTCCTCTTAAACAACACAACCACTTAAACAAAACAACTGCATGGGTTCACTTCACTTGCTAAGAAATTTAAAAATAAAATAATCCGAAATATCTGCCATGTTCTATTGAAACCAGCTCTTCGTCACAGCCGTTGTATCCAGTAAATGTCAAATTCCTCACTGACTAAACAGAATAGAAATAAAATGTTGGCACACATTAGTAGAAAAATTTGGCAGCACAAAAATATAATATACTGATGAACACAGAGGAATGATTATTGCACATAAACTTAATGATTAATATATTTTGAAAAAAAATTGATAAATAATATTTATATAATAATTATAAATCACAGTACTTATCATAAATTTCCTCATACAGTGTTGCAAGAAAAAAAATCAGTTATCCTTCTAGTAACAATTTTACAAATTAATTATTAAATGGCAAAAAAAACCTGAAATAATTATTTAATGCATGCATCACATCTGATTAAATAATTTGAAAATAGTTGCTTTTTTGTACAATTTTACTGATGAGATACATTTCAAATAGCAGAGCGTTCAAACAGAAAAAAGTCATTTTTCTTCATGGTCTAAAAAAAAAAAAAATTCGGAAAAATGTCTATAACATAATTTGACAGCTGTACTATTTATCACTGAAGATTATATACCATCTATATGTAGATGTTTGTTTTGGTATTAAGTTTGTAAAATTATCCAATATTTAAAAAAATGTTTTGATACCATACAAAACAAAAATACCATCACAGGAGACTTTTGCCTTAAGAATTAGATTTTTTAAAAGAAAACACAACCTTTTTATAAATAAAAGTTTAAAAGAATGGAATGGAAAGATAAGAACATAATAAAATCATCTGCATTCATTTTAATTTTTATCCACCCAAAATGAATTGCGCAAGAAAACAAAAATAATATATTTTACTTTTAATAACAATTTTTTAAAAAATCCACTGAAAAGAAAGCCATTTTTTAAAAAAAAGGAACGGTAGCTTTTGTGCCAATTCAGAGTAAAGGATTATAATTTTTATCCGTCCAAACAAATTTCACAAGGAAATGAAGTAACATATTTAACTTATTATAGAATTTAAAAAAAAAATCCTCTAAAAAGAAAGCAATTTTTAAAAAAAATGAATGTTAGCTTTTGTGCGAAGTTATGTCCTTGGTTTTGTGCATAATCAAGAATCTGAAATCAGATAACCACAGGTGAAATCTTCAGTTTAAAAAAAATTCACAGTACTTTTAAACATGCTGGTGTACAGCTGTAGTGTATATGAGGGGGTCTCCTGTCATACATTTTTTTCAATAAATATTTTAAATAAAACAAAGTCCAATAAGTTTTAGTATGCGTCCCAAGTCTAGAGCTGATTAACGAGTTTTTCTTATAATTATCTTTTACTTGGTCATCATTCAATATGCTAAGAAAAAATACAAATTTATATATGCCTCAGTCCAACAAATTAATTTGATAAGAAATTATTGTACCTTAAAAAATTGTTTACTCGGGAATGGAATCAAAATGAATTAAATTATAATTAGAAATCAATTAACCTCATCTGAATTCTAAAAATAATTGAAATATTTGGCATACAGCATCAAAATAAACTTATTTAAAACACACAAAAAGTGCCCATTATTAATTTGTCTATTGCAAAAATATGATGGAAAATTAATTTGAACAACAGATCCCGAAAAAATTAGAGGGTAGGTTTGAAAAAGTTGAGCTTCAGTTTAAAAATAAAGAGAGATCTTTGTCATGTTGATTAAATTGCTTACAAAAATGTTTGTTTTTGTGTTCATAAAAAAAATATCCTGAATGAGAGAGATTGCAATAAAGTTATGTGTTCTGTAAGCAGACACTGATTCCCATCTGTTGTAGTTAGAGATTCTCATCCTGTCAGAAGACAATAATTCTCATCTGTTGTAGTCAGAGATTCTCATCAATCAAAGATCAAAACTTCCAACAAAATAGAACACAAGCTCAAGTCTAAAAGTACACATGAAAACGCTAGAAGAGATCATAACATTGGCATCTACAAAAAAACAAACAACTCCCTTTGACAACAATTCATTTGTAGGCATTATCCCCCTTGAGACATTTTCATTTTGTCATGACTATTGAAATATATTTGATGTAGACAAACAAAAAATTAATCTATAAAGAGCAAAGTTTCTTATTGGCAAACATAAAAATGTTTAAAAAAAGAAAAAAAAAAGGAAAAAAAAAGGGTGATGCTTTTCTTGCAATAACTGCAAGGCTATGTTGAGTGACTTTAAAAAAAGAAAAGACATGTTACATTTTAAGGTTCACAAATAATTATATCATTTTCATTAGGTAGTTAAGAAAGCCCATGCCTCAAGTCAGGGTGATAATGCTATCATCAAATATGTTGAAACTTGTACACAAAAATTTTCCTCACAACAGACCTGTTCACAGCCGAAAATCCTAAAATTTAACAAATTAAACCCCACCAGCCATCATTTCCTCAGTGATATATAAACAAACTGGGTGTCTTTGTCTTCAATTATTTCAAATTGTTCAAGCAATAAATTGAAATACCTTCTTAAGAAAGTTTGTCCGTCACACATGGGCACACACTCACAAGTCTGATGTTGTCACAGATGCGCAGAATGACGGCTATGATAATAATATGAATATGTATATTATATGATAATGAATTCCACATAAAACAACATCACAATAACCCCCTCCTCTAACCAAATAAAATTCAGGAATAGAATTAATTGCTGTCATTGTCTTGGTCTGGGATTTGCTCCACTTGTTTTATGCATCTGTGATGTCATCTAGCTTTCTACCAATGGCGTCAGGGTTTGACAGTGGGTCAAGGTCAGCAAACAAGTTGAACCATGCTGACATATCGGATTGCTGTCCACCCTGGGTAAAAATAATATGATAATTTCAACTGTTTCATTTTCCTAATAAGAACAGATTAATTATTTTTAATAAAATATGAAAGATATATGAATTTCATATGAATTTAAAATTAAGCTTTGCTAGATTAAAACCGAACAATGGGTTCAACTTAAGTGTTATGACTTAGAAGGGTTATGAACTTATTGTTAACATAATACAACTTAATTATATAAACCACTAAAAGAACTCACTGAGCAATTAAACAACCCTAAAAAAAGGGCTGTTCGTATAAATCCTTTATAAAATGTAATTTTGAGCAATGGGGGGGTGGGGCTGAATATTTAACAAAACAAAAATGTAATTTTTGGGAAGGGGGGGGGGGGGGTGAAAATTTAAAAAAACATGCCTTTAAATAAAGCACTTTGTAAAAAACCCACCATTACCCCCCCCCCCCCCCCGGCACTAAACCGCACATTTTTTCATGCCTCTGAACTACATAAATAGATGTATAGCATCCTCCGTTGTTTATGATTGCAAGGGATGAAAGATTTAGAATGGGTATTCTCGTATGTAGTTTTTGCAATGTTGCATTTTGTACTTCTATGTGGTAAAATATAGATTTTTTCATTTCTCTTTTAATATGGATGGATGACTTTGTACTGCACTTCAAGCCTTTGGGGATGAAGCGTGATTTTCAAATAAGCTTTCTTCTTCTTATTATTAAATATTCTAATTATCCACTCGCAGATTTATTTCACAAACTATTTCAGAAAAAATAAAAGAAAATATAATGCACCAAACGCACTTGCGATATTAGAAAAAAAAAATAATAATCTCATTTTGCACAGTTATCAGGAATTTTATTTTGTGAAATCAGTGTCGTCATACTTCCTTCATCTGCCCCATTTAATTGACCTTCTTCTTATTTTTGAGGGGCCCACGATCAATTTGTTGATCATTCTGGCTCCTGGTTTAAATTCAGAGTTTGCCTTCTCTTAGATGGGTTGCCGTCCAAGGCTAGCGAGTCCCATCCACCCGGGGTGCTTGGGATGGCTTTGGTGGGGATTGAACTCCGAACCACCGGCTTTTTGGTATGAGACAGTTTAGACCGCTCGGCCACCCAGCACCAATTTTGCAGCTGGTTGGTAGTTAAAACCCTGACTTCTATACAATTCCCAAGCATACACCCATTAGATACCTTTGAAAGTGGCTGAGGTTTTGATTTCTGTCCCTTTTTGGCTTGACCTGCTGGACCTGCAGCAGCGGGGGCTTGACCAGGTGTTGGGCCGGCAGCATTTGTGCTGCTGTTAACACCTCCAACTGAAAACAATGGAACATTACCTGAGAGGGGGAGAATGAAATTGAACATCTTCTTCTTCTATATCTTAAGGGCCCACGATCAATTTATTGATCATTTTGGCTCCTATGCATGTAGATGGGATTTGCAATGTTTCTGTTACTGGTTGTGATGAGGAAATTATGCACTAGGGGTTTGAAGGCTTGAGGCAATAGACACAAATGTGTCTAGTGTTGTCGCCTCAACCGTTCCTTTGGAAAGATGGTTCCAGTCCTTGATTGTCTTGGGCAGGAATGAGCAGCTCCTATACTGGCTTCTTGCTGGTATGAGCCTGAATTGCCTGTCATGGCCTCGTCGCTGTCTATGGGGGAGAGGGACGAGTTTCTGTTTAATACTGGAACAGTGGACCAGCCCATTATTTATCTTGTACATCATGGAGAGCCTGGATTGTCGTCGTCGTTTCTCCAATGGTGACCAGCCTAGTGTTTCTAGCATGCTGCCAACACTAGAGGTATTCCTGTAGCGGTTTAGGACAAAACGTGCTGCTCGTCGCTGGACCGCCTCCAACCTGTCAATGCTCTTCTGGGTAAATGGGTCCCAGACTGAAGATGCATAATCTAAAATCGGACGGATAAAGGCTTTATATGCTCTTTCTTTCACACAGGAGTTGCCAATCTTTAGATTTCGCCTTAAGAACCCCAAGGCTTGGTTTGCTTGGTTACATACATTGTTAATATGCTCGTCCCAGCGGACCTCTCTTTGAATGGTAACACCCAGGTACTTTACGGAGGAAACTTGCTCAAGAATATGGCCGTGCAGTTTGTATTGGTAGTGTAGAGGAGTACAACTTCTAGAGATTGATAGTGTCTGGCACTTGGCAGGGTGAAATTCCATGTCCCAGCTCATCTCCCACTCAGCTAACAGATTGAGATCCTGTTGTAGCTGGTCCTGGTCAGATCTGTTGGCGATCGTCCTATACACTGCTGTGTCATCTGCAAACAGTCTTGCCTGTGATGTCAGTTTCTCCGGTAGGTCATTAATGTATGCTAGGAACAAACAGGGGCCCAGGACTGATCCCTGGGGGACCCCTGACTTCACATTGACAAAGGAGGAGCTTGTACCGCCCACCACTACTGCTTGGCGTCGGTGGCTGAGGAAGCTAGAGATCCATGTTTTAGTGGTGCCTTGAATCCCATATATCTGGAGTTTGTGTAGAAGCAAACTATGATTCACCCGGTCAAATGCTTTTGCGAAGTCCATTACTAGCACGTCAGTCTGCTTGTGGTTCTCCAGATTAGTCATCAAGTCTTCTACAAATTCGAGAAGCTGGGCCTCACATGACCTATTGACTCGGAAGCCATGTTGACAGTCATTGAGTATATTTTGGCTTTCAAGATGCTTCATGACAGTGCTTACGATTATGTGCTCCAACAGTTTGCAGACGACGCTAGTGAGGGATATCGGACGATAGTTGGCAGGGTCGGAATGCTCCCCTTTCTTGTAAATTGGAGTGACATGCGCTGTTCTCCAGTCTGCTGGAACATTTCCTGTGCATAGTGACAATTGGAAGAGGATTGTCAGTGCAGGAGCGATTTCTTTGGCTAATTCTTTGAGCACTCGTGGTTTAATGTTGTCAGGACCACATGCTTTGTAAGGGTTAATGGTATTGAGGAGGGCAAACACACCTTTTGAGTATCTCCGCCTGTGCTTTTGGGTCAGATGTCAATTGGCCATCCCACCTCAAGGGGGAAACTCCAGCGTTTGAGGACTTTTGGTGTTTCACATAGCTCCAGAAGCGCTTGTTCTTGACATCTTTGGTCGGGGTGTCTTCCTCTGAGAAGATGCCGTTCATGTAGTTCCAATACGATCTACGCAATAAGCGTTGAATGGTTCGGTGGAGTCTCAGTACCTCCTCTCTCAGTTCAATCGAGCCATTTTTCTTCATGCGTTTGTATTGGCGGTCTCTCCTGTGGATGAGCCTACGGATTTCAGCCGTGACCCATGGCTGATTTATCCTCGGTTTGGTGATTTGGTGTGGTATGAATTTATTCACTGCATCAGTGATTGTAGTCTTGAACTTCACCCACAGCTCGTCTGTTGTCGCTGTACCTTGAATCACCTTCATGTTTGAGCTTAGCTCTGTGGTTGAAATCCTTAGGCCATCCCAGTCTGCCTTGGCATAAATTGGGATTTCTCAAATGATTTGTTTCATTTTTAGTGTGTTGACCTGAAATTCACAATAAGGAATGCTGTGGTCCGAAATCCCGGGGATGACCTCAACTTTTGGGACACGATGTGGACAATTGGTGAGGAGTAGGTCAAGAGTGTTTTCCCCCCTCGTGGGTTCTTTAACCAGCTGTTCCAGACCATGGTTGTTAATTATCTCCATGAATTCTGAGTGTAGAACAGGGTATGGGGACTTGGGCTTCAAGGCAGGAATCTGCCAATTCCAACCAGGAAAGTTAAAATCCCCCCCTATAAGGAGAAAAGCGTTTTTTGACTGTGTTGCTCTGTGAAGCGATACCTCGAACCTCCTCAGGCTTGGTTCATCTGCCGTGTTTGGTCGGTAATAGGCACAAACGTAAAGTGTGCGTCTACCCTTTTGTTTCAATTTTACCCACAGGATCTCGCAGTCGTCAACATCGAGTTCTGGAACAGCGTGGCAGTCAAAGTTGTGATGGACTGCAACAAGCACTCCTCCTCCTCTGTCTTTTCTGTCTCGACGAAATACTTTGTATACATCTGATACAACCTCTGCGTTTGCTATGGAGGGATTCAGCCATGTTTCTGTGCCCAAGATGATGTCGGGTTTTAGGCTGTTAATTAGGTTAGCTATCTCTACTCGCTTACCACTTGCAGACTGGAAGTTAACATTCAATATGCGCAATGGCCTGTGTCTCCATTTGTCTTGTTGACTGCAGCGCATAGGAGTAGAGCAGTGTGGTGGTTGAAAACTTCGAATGTCTCTTGGTGTGGAGATTGAGTGGTTCAGAGAGAAATCTGGGAAGGTAGAGTCTGTCCCTGCACTATGTGGGTCAAACACAGACTGGTTAATCTGGCAACCGCAGACAGTACAGTGCCATGGCACGTCAGAACTTTTAGCATGTTGGTTGTAATTAGAAGTGTCGATGCTTTGGCATTGACGATGGAACCATTGCCCACATTGTTCACAGGCAACGCCTCTGTCCTCCACATGTACAACATGGTCACTTGCAAATCACAAAAATTATTTGAAAAATCACACTAGACCAGTAGAATGATTATTATTAGTCTTGTTAAGAACGAATGAATGCAAAATTTGAAGACGGAAATTTTTAATTGTATGTTAATAATGGGGAATTTTTTTCTCCATAAGCCTTTATGCATAGGTCTAACTGTAATGTATAACCACACCATTTTAAAGATGCTATTTTCCATAAGCCTTTATGCATAGGTCTAACTGTAATGTATAACCACACCATTTTAAAGATGCTATTTTCCATAAGCCTTCATGCATAGGTCTAACTGTAATGTATAACCACACCATTTTAAAGATGCTATTTTCCATAAGCCTTCATGCATAGGTCTAACTGTAATGTATAACCACACCATTTTAAAGATGCTATTTTCAATAAGCCTTTATGCATAGGTCTAACTGTAATGTATAACCACACCATTTTAAAGATGCTATTCTCAATAAGCCTTTATGCATAGGTCTAACTGTAATGTATAACCACACCATTTTAAAGATGCTATTTTCAACAGCAATAAAAGAGTTCTAAAAAATCTGATCCTTTGCATTGGCTTTGTTTTTAAAAATATCAAATTAAAAAGCTATAGGTTTTATCAAATTAAGCCAATAAATTTCAATGCCAAATCTCATAATCATTTTATTTACTGACAGTATTTGTTTCTTCATTTAATTTGCTATCCCTCTACTTTGTAATATTAAAATAGGTGAAGATGTTGCATGCTCAAAAAAAAAAAAAAAATGAATATTAAAGTTGAAACCTTATTTTAATATGATGTGAAATGGTTGTTAACCTGACATGTGTGCCAGGCCTGGCCACCCTGTTTTGTACAAATAATGATAAATCATTTCGAAGTATAACAAGTTTAACAAACATAACCGATCCATTTTACCTGGAGCAGATGTAAAACTGGACATTTGGGTATCCAGTAGGCTTGAAGGCATGAACTCCGACCTTTGCCGCGAGGAATCCTGCTCCTGAGGGATGACATCAGGAGTCATGCCATTCTGCCCGCTCCCAAACACAGCAGTCCATTCCTGGGCAAATTCATCCTCTCCTGTGGATGGGGCATTGAGAATCTCATTGAGCAGAGTCATGTCATCCTTGTCAGCATCCTCATCCACTTGTTCTGGGTTCTCTGTCAGCAGGTCTCTTTCTTTTCCTGTCAGATTGTACAGGAGATACAGATTATATTATCCGGATCCACACTCAAAACTTAGAATTGAAGGCAAGAAAAAAAAATTTGATGGCTATATTATATCATACATGTTTTGTTTTGACTTTCCAGAAATGATTGATCAACAGGACAAAGTTATTTAACAGAAGTAGACCAAGTGGGTAGAGTCATTTTTTCTTTTAAAAAAGGGCCCGGGTGGGGGGGGGGGGGGAGCAACACAGCTGTTAAGTTAACAAAGTGGAACAACAGAACAAAATCATTTTAGATTAAAAATGAGTGGATTAAGAAGTATAAAGCATTCTCTTAACCTTGAGTAAAATAGACTGAAAAAAAGATATAAAATGGATTTAAGCATTTATTTAAGCTAAGGTGTAAGAACACTCAGAGCTCAAATAACATAGCTGAAGCTTTCTTTTTAAATTTTCAAGTTACATTATATTAAACTATTGTGTAAAACAGAGACTATCTTTTTCTATTGGATTGCCCAGTGGAAATCTGTAAGGTCTCTATAAAATCAAAAATGGCTGTTTTCTTACAACAGATTACATTTTCTATAGAGTATTAAAATCTTTGTACAATTTAATGTAAGCTGTGATATTTATTTTATACAATAACTTTTTAAGAACAAAGAAAAAAACAAACAAAAAAACACACTCTGGGTCATTTACCTACCTCACTGACTAGTAATACAATTTTATCAGAAATATATATGATGCAAAGTGATAACTTAGTCTGAACACAGACTATCAGTACATTTAGTAATGTTATCATTAGATATGCATCAGGTAGGATTGATTTTTTTAATACTTATAGCAGGCCAGCCTAGTCACTGAGTAGCTTAGCTATGCAGTTTTTTCTTCCTCCATATAGTGTTTCTAGTTGACATTCCTCATTCGCCAACAGAGGGAGATTAGTGGTCTTTTTAAAAAATGTAAGCACTACTTTTTTCTGGGGTGGCCTTGTTATATAAGGAAAGGAAGAACATACACAGAAGCTGCAACAGCCATTAGACTGTGCCCCACTTCATTTATTATATATGTATAGGGCATCCTTCTGTATTTGTCAGACGATGAAGTAGCTCTTGACACTTCAACTATTATTGTCAAAATAAATCAGAGGCTTTTACAATTTTTTAATGTGCTGTTATTTCATTGAGTCAAGCAAAACCAAAGCTGGCACCCTGTATTCAACCAGTTTGTTGCCTAGACATTTCATACTCCAGCGTATAGGGGAAGGCTCTAAGGCCAGTAACAAAGACTAAAACTCACCTTCAGCTTTCTGAACTTCCTTATTTTTGGCAGCAGCCTCCATGATCTTCCCTGTAAAGTCCATGTCATCATCATCGTCCTTGAGAAGAATGTCATCATCAGTGAAGTCCATGAAAGGTCCGAATTCTGAATCTTTGTCCGATGGGTCTCCTGGCTTTGCTGAAAAGGACAGCGACAAAAATGACGTACTAGTCTAATACAAGATAATTTTCCATGATGTTATATCTCAGGTATTGTAAACAATTCTCCACTATGATGTTACATTACATCTCAATGTACGCATCGCCAAGTTATGGCTCACACATTAGAAAAACATCACCAAGTTGTGGCGCACACATTATATACCCTTCACTAGGTTATGGCTCACCTCTCTGCTGGTTGTTTGCCCTGAGCCTGAGATCCGACAACAGGGCCTCATCGAAGGCTGCAGAATCTCTGGCATCTTTCCCCTCCTCACCTTCCACAGAAATGAGACTGAAATGGGTGAAAGGGACACAGCATGTTTACCACAAGGAACTGGACTGAATAATAAATTTCCAGATTCAAAATCAATCAATCATCCTGCTAGAGTCATTAATTAATCAATATCAAATGAAAGGAAATTGAGAGGGCAATTTTGGGAGTGGGGGGGAAAGGAGAAATGATTTCTACATATCAAAAAGCAAAATGCACATATCAAAGATACCAAAAAAATATATATTTATGTTTCCTGAGCAAAGTAGTCAAAAACTGTTCAGTGACACAAAACTCAGTTAAAAAATAATAATAATGATCACTAAAAATTCTTTAAGACCCAATTTTAAAATCAACGAGGACTTTAAGACCCAATTTTAAAATCATTACAGAACTTACATAAAAATACTAAAAGACCGGTAGGAATCAGTTTTAAGTATATTCTCTGTGTCTTTGACTTTATCACAAAATTTGAAAAAAAACAACAAATGAAAAGGTTTCAGAGCCCTAGTTAACTTTCTTGACAAAAAAATGTTTTAATTAAGTGTTTAAAAAAAAAATTTAAGTCAACTCAGAGGTGAGCAACTAAAGTAAAGGAAACCAACATGCATGAAGTAGATTTATAGGGGGGGGGGAAAGTTATTGGTTATTACAAGTATAAGGAGTAATGAACATTATTTATTGTGGGAGAATAGAAAGTAAATTATTATTTGATTTATTGTGTTTCAAAGTTAATCGAGAATCAGGTAAAATGGGGGGGGGGGAAAGTTATTGGTTATTACAAGTATAAGGAGTAATGAACATTATTTATTGTGGGAGAATAGAAAGTAAATTATTATTTGATTTATTGTGTTTCAAAGTTAATCGAGAATCAGGTAAACAAAGAAATACAACAGCAACATCAGTAGCTACAAGGTGACATAAAAAAAGCCATGCAATCAGTGGAGGGGGGGGGGGAAGAGAGTGTGTAACAAGCACATTATTCAAAGGCAACATGCATAAATCTTGTGTTGATAGTCACAGTGCTGTTAATTAGGCAAAGAAGTTATGTTTTTGAAAATTATAATGGCACTTTCAACAAACTGAGCAATTCAAATTGTCTAATAAAAATGTGGAGCCTGCCAGCACTGAATTTTTTCTTATTAAATAAGACTTGTTTCACAAAATGTGTTTTATTCTTCAATTATGTAATGTATCTATCTACTTTCAATTTATTATTGAAGAAAAATGTATTATTAGTTCAGTTAGGAAATTATAGTGTTTCTAAAAAAAAACCAAACTGACAACTTAATGTGACCTTTCAAAACTTAATTGATGCACAGCAACAAAAATAATGAGGAGACTATTAGATGAGAAGCAACCCTAGAACAAAATCCTCTCTCTCAAGCAGCCCAAATAATCCATCTCCCAGACAACTCAATGCATTGTAGGCGGGGAGGGGGTGCTTGGATGTGTGAAATGTTCACCTGTCATCATCTGAGCCCCTCCTGGCATAATGCTTCAGCGCCGTCACCTGGTCGTCTCCTTCCTGGTCATAGCTGTACACCGTGGAGGTCGAAGCCCCGTCGTAGTTCGCATTATCCTTTCTCACAGAACGGTTACACATCTTCTCTGCTTCTTCATTCAAGCTGTCATCCTCATCTTCTAGTCCGAGCAGATCATCAATGGTGGACGGATTAACTTTTTCGCCTGTGGCGTCTTGCTGACCAGAGCTTGTAGAATAGCCTGAGGCCTTTTTCCAGTAATCGGAGGCTTCTTTCTTTAACCACGGCGCCTCTGATTTTAATGGCTGGTTGGCCCAGGATCTAGGATCTGATGGGGCACTTGAGGTTCCGGTTGATTTTGTCTGCTTGAGATTGTGTTGGCGTCTAGATTGGCCATGTTTTCCTTCTTCATCGCTAGCACTGGTGTTTAAAGGGTGATGACACAGGCATAACACAACACATAAAGTAGTATGAACAACAGCCTATTTCACATTTTTATAAAAATCAAAGATATGAAATGCATCCATGTTTAAAAAATTGAACTGGTGTGGCTTGGTGTTTATTGCAATTTATAAAGAGTCAAAGTATTAAGTTCTGTCAACATGGATCTAAACTTTTATTACCTGATCATTTTTAAGGTTCTAAACTAATGTATTTATAGTAGGAGGATTTTCAGATGTTTAGTCATAAATCTATTTTGTTATCAATAAATGAAACACCGCATATCTTTAAACTAATGCTTTTCTTCATTGTGCTGTTATTTCCATACAAGCCTGTTCAATTATTTATGGCCATATTTAACTGAATAAACTCTTATTTGAACCAATTAAAACATTAAACATTATAATAAAAATCGCTGGATTGGACAAAAACTACAACATAGAACGGCATAATATCAAAACTTGGAAAAAATATTAACACTAAAACAAAACAAAATATTCTTGGTTAAACTGACACACATGTCTTACTAGTGGGATTACTTCAACATTAGATATTGCCAGCGTCAGCTGTTGAATCTGAATGGTTGAAATTATCCCATCAGTTACATGACACTATTCTGGTCACATGAGAAAGACAGATATGGTTAACCAGCAAGTGGACTCACGTATCCTGGTCATCTGTGTCCCTCTCTGAACCCTCTCTATTCGATGTCTCTTGCGCCAGCTTCTTACTTGTTTCTGTCAATTCCTAACATTCACAAATTAAAGATTTTTAGTTACAGTGCCAAGTGAACATCAACAATTAAAATTACAGGATACCTAACCTTAAAAATGTGAAGAGTGTCAATGGTCATCTTCTCATTTTTGATGGTTCACTTCTATTATTAGTTGCATAAACACAGTAAAACAAAAAAATTAGAGTGAAACAAAAAAATGACAGAAAAAAAAATAATAATAATAATAGACGGGCATAACACAACACATAATGTAATACGAACAACAGCATTTCCCCCATTTTTTTTAAAAATCTGGGATATGTAAAGCATCCATTTAAAAAAAAATTTAACACGTAAAATATTTTTCTTCAAAAAAATAAAAAACTCAACACACTAACCCTCAGCATGTTGAATTCATAATACTGGTAGCCCTTGAAGCTCTCCGCCACCGCTGACATTGTCCTGGAGGTCTTCTCCCAGTAGTGCAGCAGCATGGTCTGGTAGTTGGCCAGGACGTGGGAGAACATGTTACACCTGCTGGCAGCCAGGAGGTCAACCTTCTGCATCACGTCCAGCTTTAATTTGTCGAACCTGCTCTTGGTCTTACGAACTTGGCCCTGAACCTATGGAAGAGTACAATAAAGAAATGTAGTAAAGTATTAGGTAGGATACATCTAAATTTACATAATGTAAATTTAATTTATACCTATTATTTAAATGTTTTGTTTTTTTATACTGATAAGGCATTTGCCGAAATTTTTACATTTATATGTTGTACAATCATCATTAAAGCTGAACATATTCTGTTTTATTTAAACAAATTGTTTGTGTCCAATTAATCTACTTTAAAGCTTTATCGCACTCCAACACTCTAATGATTAAGTCATTCAAGGTAGATGGAAGTATTTCCACTGAGAGATGTTTATAAGATTGTCTTTCCAAAATTCTTTTGTCCGTTTAGTAAGCTTTCAAGGAAATAATCTAATGCCTTTACAATGAATTCAGGAAACCAGAAACATTTTATCAGAGTGGGTTGCTGGCTGTGAGACCCTGTTTATAATTTTGACAGGCGACTTAATTTTTAAATCTTTTTTTTTTTATTGTTAAACAAAATTTTATCATTTCTGTTTCATGATGATGGGAAAAAAAAACACAAACAAAACAACAATATTGCCATTGCTTGATTTGAACCTTAGTTTAATATCTGCAGTGAGTATTGGTACTATTAGCATTAATAGATCGCTTACAGTTTATGTGTCTGGTGGCCTGAATTTTGTGTGTTGAAATTGTATTAAAACTGGTACTACATTTTATGTGTTTGCACACTACTTCTATATTTCACCACAGTGAATCTACAAACCATTTCATGCTGATAGAGGGTTTTAAAAAAAAAGCGAAGAATTTTGGAATATATGCAATATGCACTTCCAAATGATAAAAATAAATAAATAAATTCCATTACAGTCTTGTTAGATACAATACAATTATCTGTCTGAAAACTAATCTAAACTTTGACAAAACTATTCAACTCCCTCAGTATGTTTAGAACAAAGGGGTTCATAAGGTTAATAAACACTCAAAAGAACTTGAATGTTAAGTATGATTTATATGGATACCTTTCGAAACTTCTCTAGCTGTTTGTACATATCAGGGTCCAGCTCCTCCGAGACATTTTTCATCCACAGCAGTGCACCCCTGTACTCAGTGCGTGCACTCTCCATTCTATTGATGGTAACTAGTGTATCAGAAACTGCTCTGTAACGGAATGTCTCTACTTCTTGATAAAGGCGACGGAGGGGATTGTGAAGGGCCAGCCTGAACATGTATTAAAAAAAATTATTTGTAGAAGAAAAAATAAAGGAAATAAACTTTCACTTTGAAAATAATTTCAAATAACATATTGTTTTAGGCGCTCGTTCAATGGTTTTAGAATCCTCGGTTAAAGGACAATAATATAAATTGGACTCTGACCTCTCCTGTGCAGAATTACTCTCTGCCTTGCCCACTGCAGCCATCATCTTTCCTGCCCTTGTTTTGTCCTTGTTGCTGTGAGCCTTGAGTAGTCTCCCCATGGTGTTCTCTTCCTGTGACACAACTGGAGAGGCACATAAGCTATCAGTTAAATGATGCAAGAAAAAACATTGCCCAGTCCTACAATTCCTAAAAAATCACAATGCATTTAAAACTTCTTACAGTTTTATTTTCTTAAGTAAATTAGATTAAATAAATGAATTAATGATTACATTTTCAATTCATTTTACGATAAAAATAAAAAGAGAATTCCACACAAGGGGCGAAAGTAAGCCATCTTGAAATTCCGTTCTCTTTAGTTTCCTGTAGCAGTCAAATCTAAAATGCCTTGAAAATCCTTTTGATATTTAATGAAAAAATTCATACTTAAACTTGCATGATCTTTTTTGTTTTAAATTTTTTTTTTATTAATGCTACTAACAATTTACCAAATTAAATGGGCAATTTGACTGTTATTTTGATTTTTTTTTTTTTTTTCAAGGTAAAGGGATAAAAAGTGCAACAGTGCATAAGAGACCTCAAAGCAATTTGTCCAACCTGCCAAGAATCAAATAGTAATTTTACCACAAAGTCTGTCCTGGTACTTCTCTATGACACGCAGCAACTCCATGCTGGATCTCTGAATAGCCTTGAAGACCTGTGAATGAAAACATAAGCTCCATTTGTATGCAGAAAGGGGTGGACAATGCAGCAAACTGCAGTTTAAATTTCCCCCAATTTTTTGCATTATCAAGACATTTGGTAAATGGTTTCAAAATATTGAAAACGAAACATACAGAACGAGATATTGAGAATAATGATTTTAAGTAACTTTCCTTCCATGTTTGATTCTTGTGTTTAATGTTAAAACCCAGTTGTTTCAAATTAAACACGACTCTTAGTTAAAATTTTTAAGTTCAAATAAAACTTTAAATTTGTACTTTCAATGGTTTTAAAACCATTTCACCAATCATTAAATGTTTTATATTTGTCCAAGGAATTCATTTACATACCTCAAGTTTAGCATCTAGTTGTGAATCTGATGCAACAACATGTTCATCTTCTTTCTTTCCTAACTTCTTGATTACAGCTTGTTTGGTAGTCCAGTAGGTTTCTTTCATTTTATGAAGAGTGGACGTATTTGTGTTTTCAACGAATCGATCATAATTTGAACCAGAATAACCGTACATGCTGCAAAAATGATAAAACTCTTTGTTAAAAAAAGCAGGATAGGAATTCGGTCAACAGAGAATCTAAAACAAGGACACTTTGCAAATTGAAGTCCTACGGAGTTGACTGAATCAAGTGAAATTGTTGCTAAAATTATTTTTATTTAAAGTTTGTATAAAATAATCAAGGACTTGAATATCTTGCAAACATAAAATAATTGATTAATAGCAGTAATTAACAAGGAAAAAAGGATAGAAAAAAAAAAAGGTGGAAACTTAGAAAAAATTTTAAGGAGTAAAAGATCAAACTTACGACATTTTGAATAAAAAACAAGATGATATGTATCAACTTCAGAAATAATTCGTTGAGGAATTGCTATTAATTCCAAAGCTACTGTTGATAAAACTTTCCAGTGCTTTCACTATCAGAAGTTTTCGGTGATGTACCAGAAAGTTGTTCCCAACCCTTAAAAATAAGAATTACATTTTAACCAGTTGCAGAATGCAAATGAATATTAACAACTTAAAATAAAATATCAAGAATTGGACATTCACAATACTTGATTTGCTTCTTAACTCCAAAGGAGCGCACAGTTATAGTGGTAAATATTTAATAATCCCGATTTTTTTTTTTTTGTATAGATATCTCAATAACTGGCAAAAATTGCAAATTTCTTACAGACTTGTAGCAAAGACCAATAAAGGTGCCAGTTAAAAACTGAGTGCAAGATCAATAAATTAAACCTAGATCTTCAGGGAAGGAGATAGTGGAACTAGGTATGTTGAAGCTTGAAATTAAAAAACAGGATAATGAAAAGAGAAGATAACAGTCTTCTTTGGGAGACAAGACAAAGCAAGAAACTACAAAGAAATAGAAATGAGTTAAAAAAGTGTTTGTATTTCGACATGCCCAGAGTATAGAAGTATCTACCTTATTTAACTATCTTAACACTTGATCACAGTCTCCTTATAGGTCTATTATTTCTTTATTCAATTAATAAAATACTTTCAGTACAGATTTTTTAATGAATGTTTTTGCTTAAGGGTCGCCCTCCCCCCCAAAAGTTTCTGTGAATGATTGAACTTGCCTTTGTTTAGTCGTAGATTGTTACTACAGAATGCTATTCTTTGTTATTACTAATATGCATATGGAATGTACTTTTTAATTACTAATTTTTAATCCGGTTAATTAATACAGGTATTTGAAAAAGTCCCTTAAAACCCATCTGTTTAGGTCCGCCTATGACCTGTGATGCACCCTCCTTGCCCTGCCTCATTTTCTGTCTCGGGTTAATCCTGTAATATAGGCCAAAACGTGCCAAAGTGTCCTCGTTTTATGGCCATTTTAATTGTTTCTATAGTATAGTAGTTACTATCCTAATGTCTCATTTTTATTTTAGTTAGTTTACATGTTTTTAATAATTGTAAAGCGCTTAGAGCTTTAAGGTAAGCGCTATATAAAAATGCCTAAATTTTCTATAGTATAGTAGTTACTATCCTAATGTCTCATTTTTATTTTAGTTAGTTTACATGTTTTTAATAATTGTAAAGCGCTTAGAGCTTTAAGGTAAGCGCTATATAAAAATGCCTAAATAAATAAATAAATAAAACGAGGTTATAATTTTTTGTGATAGATTTTGACTTAATTGATATATTTGGATTTTATATATGGTGGAACCTGTAATAAAGTGTGTAGAAGTGTAAATTGGATTTTCATTATTTAGAATATTTTTAAAATAATTTTAATCTTTTTATTCAAATTTATAATTTTTTCACTACAGTGTGCAAGTGTAGCACACGAACATATGGTTTTAGGGTTCAGATTAAGTCTAGACCTAGAAATTATGTTTGAAGATTACATTGGATTTAGGGAGACTAATTTTAGGTTACAAGATTTACATTCGAGTTAGAGGGACTGATTTTAGGTTTGAAGTTTCATGCTCAAGTTTGGGAGACTGAATTTTATGCTAGGAACATTTAACATTCAGGTTAGGTAGAGTGATAGATTTTAGGTTTCAAAGTTTTTTGCAAACAATTATAAATTAAATTTGTTTAATGAATCATTAAATGTTCTTTAATATTATCATTTTATGCTCTATAAGGTTCAAATCGTGTCTTTTTCCTAATGTTTTTATTTATTTATCATTTTCCATAAGTTCATTTGTCTCACTAAGTAGCTAAAACACACTCTCTCCCTTTCCCATTTTCACCCTGGTGTTTTGTTTTTTTTTGCAATAATTTGTTTGACATGTCTGCTGTCATTGCAACAAAGATGGCAGTAGTGTAAAAAAAAAAAGAAGGTAAAAAAACCACTGTAAAACGTAGGACACAGGATAGCGTAAATTTACCAAAGTTTATTTTGAAAGATTTCATAGTAGACCTATTATTAGGTACTTAAGTAGAAAAAAGTAAAAATGTCAAAAACATTATCGAAGTAGTTCAGTTTTATAGATCAAACTTTAAATTTAGAGAATGAAAACAAAATCAACTTTCTATCTTCACTAGTTTTCGAGCTACGAATTTTCAAACAACAAGTTCATTTGTATCTCTTTACCATGGACCACATCTGCACATTCTGTGACCCAAATCAAATGTTTGCATCATATGCTTTAACTCCTGTTTTAATGATAATTTTTTTAAGACTTATATTTTTCAGGATCAATGTTATATTAAAAGTTCTAATATTAAAAAATAATTTTAATAATACTATGCAATTATCAATAAATTGTAACCCATCAAACAATGTACTATGTATTATCAGTAAATTTAATATATATGATACACTAAATGGCTTTTCGGTTAATTGAAAGGAATCATTATACAAGTATTTAGAATATAGTCAATATGAGGCAAAGTGTTCCCCTAATAGATGACTGGCTAGGGACTACTTATTTTGAATTTTTTACTTTTGGACATGACTAATTGATTAAATCTTTCCCAGAAAAATGGTTAAATAGTGCTTGCACACAGAAAACTCTTATGAATGAAGCTCTGAGAAATGTACTTACGTATAGTCATATGCAAGTGGATGTGAATGGTTGCCTATGACAATGTTCGACACAGCAAATTATGATCATTAATGATTTATAATTTGGCCTTTATAGGTGGTTTTATATAGCGCAGTACCCGAGCCTAAGGCTAGGCTCCTTGCGCTTCACATAAAAATTAGCAATTACAGAAACGTATATATTTAAAAACAACAATTGGTGATAAGCTTGAACATTACTAGGTTTTTCAACCTAAAATTAAAATATTTTTGTTTAAATCCCTTCTAAAACACAAATTATTAATATATTGATATTAATTGAATGTTTTCTAAGTATCAGCATCTTCTGCCATAAAAAAAAGGGGCCTGGTCACTTCCTTTTCGTGAATGGTCTGTAGGACCTTTGCATATTTCAGACTACTCAGAGGAGCATGGCAAAAAAGAATCATGACCTAGTACAATGAAATGTTTCACATAAATACATCGATAAATGTGTAGTTAGCAGCATGGGTTTTGCCAGATTTGTCTCACCCAAAGCAAAGTGACGTCACTAAGATGAACACCGGAAAAAAGATGCGCATATGTTTAAAAGTGGTTCACTGATTGAAAACAAAATAGCCATATGGTATTAAGTTATATAATTATAATTTTGCAATTTAACAGGACATTTCAACATAATTTTTTGGGGAGGAGTGACTCCTCACAATTTCAATATAGAAATAAGAAACAAAATATTTTCTGGGCAGGGCAGACCCTTACCCTCTTTCAAGTCATAAATTAAAAAATTAGAATAAAAATTTATCAAATAAATACAAAGCTCAATTTTGAAATATTTTGAGAAACATAACTATGGCCGGTAGTTGACCTAGGTAACCCCCATGAGCTATATACCAGGGAAGACAACATGGGCCCTATCACTAACTGTAGGGATAACAATACTTGTTCACGCACCGATCTGCGCATGTCCAAAAATGTCGATAAAACGTGTTCTACAATATGGCGTACAGCTACACGGTATCTTTGGAAAATTGCACACTACGTCACCTTTGTTTATTAAATAATTGCGTTCCTCATCAGTGACGTGGAGCGCATATTTTTTCAAAACATTTGATACCATTTTGCCCGCAGGTTGGACTTCGTACCGGCAACTTATTTACTATTATATACGGGTATGTACTTAAATAGCTTATTACTTTTTAATGTAAAATCGCAACGCTTTGAACTTTACTGCGCTACTGCTTCATATATTCACGAAATGGAATAACTTTATTTCGTTAATATTAGTGATCGCTGAAAAAAGTTAGAGACCCCCTAGTTTTAGAAAATCGAGTTTTTCATCAGTTATCCCCCCTCAAATAAAAAAAATTGGGTTGTCGGAAATGGCTCTCGTCATTAATATTTTAATATGAAGATATGAAAAAGATGACTATTAATGTTCATCTTCAAAAATTCGTGGAACACTAATCAGTTAATTGATGGGAAACAGTTTTACTATATTTTAAGAAATTATTATATACCAGTAAATCAAAGATTTTTTAAATTAATTTTAGTTTGTGTAGTCTGTTGAATTTCGGACCAGTTTTGTCCCTTGATTT